AAGACCAACGAAGTTTTCCGCGACTTGTTGTTTGCAAGCACCAATCTGGAAATTGGAACAGCGCACGAATTAACTGAGATGGCAATCAACTCTTACACGATTAAACTACCAAAGCGGGACGTATACGTAGGGCAAAACAAAATAACAGTGGTCACCTAAAATGTGATCTTATAATTCAAGAGGATTATTGGTTTATGCATTGTACCAAAATGGATAACCGGAATTCGAAAATCAGCGATGTGGAACTAATTAGATGACCATTAACACAACCATTAAGGTAGTGGAGATAGTTTGCATTCATTTACAAGTGAATATATATATATATATATATATATATATATAACACANACACAACAACGTTGTTTGCAACACCAGGTGACCATTCACATACTACTTATTATCAAATATTCTACCAAGGCCATCAGGTCACGTTTGTTGCGGTTAGTAGCATCTAACCCACTTACAAAACATCGAATCATAGCATTGATTCTTCATTGGACTCTCTCTGAAAGAGCTGTCTATCTATATAGTGCATAACTGGTGTATATCATGATCATCGTGAAGCGAGTTACATAGAAGTGAACTTCACTGATGGGTGCCAAGTTCTCAAGTGAGAAAGTACACGATGGATAGGGTTTGAGCCCAACTGGAGGGAGGTAAATAAAACTGAACATCTATCGTCAACACACAGAGCACGACCTAACTGTGAGTATATGCCTTTTCAAGCATTCTAGTCTGACAAGAAATGATAACAAGAAAGCCACTTCTGTTGGTTAGACACTATATCTTTCAGTGTTTCCAACCAACCAGTTACTGAGTCTTTTGGACTTCAACCTGGAGGACGGGGGACACCTATTCTATCTAATCTATCTGTGCATTTCTTTCCACGTCATCTGTTGACCTCCACATTGTTTCCTTTAACCTGGAGCCGCAACTGTGAATAAAGCGCGATGAGGTAGATGAAGGCTAGGCATGCGCAATACGTATGTTCTAAACAGTGAAGCCTACTCATTCGAAGTATATGTAATAACGAACTTTCCATCGAATCATTACCGAATACATCAGAGTTGCTTACACGCTGGCTCCATCCAACCTGCGCCAAACTACATAAACAACGACAACCGAAGACTTCTAGACAATGATTATCTTCCACGCGCAAGTTAAGGATCTTGCAAACGTAAAGCAGAACTGATCGCACACTGGCGCAGTGTACACGAACTTTCGATTTCAGCGAAACCACGTCTGCACCAAATGCTTCAGAATCGCGCAAGCTGCTCGCGCCTCGAAAATGCGGGCGGTTACTTCTTTGACTACTCTACCGTTATTTGTCACGTGGGAACAACAACTAATTTCTGGCCATCAACCATCAGAGTTGGGGTGGACGTCAGCATTAATCTGCACTTTGAAGATGCGAAGCACGTACCGAATGGAGTTATAGAACTTGCTAGTCTGGCAAGAGCGATATACACATCCTCCATACATTCGAACGGACAGATGATGTCATGGGTGTCTTCTAAATCGTACATTCAATACCTACGTTTTAGAGACCATTTAGCGCGTTTTCCAGTATTTCGTCCACGACCAAGTTTAATAGGAATGGCGAAATAGGGCAGCCTTGACGAACGTCGCTGCTGGTGACGAACGGCCTACTTAGATGGTTGTAAACCCTAACTCAACCAGAGGTATGTGAGTACAGCGACCTCAGTGGGTTAACGTACTCCTGAGGCATTCCCTTTAGAAGGAGAGAACCCATCAGATCTTTGCGGTCAACTGATTAGGAGGTTCCTTTCAGGTCGAGGAACACTGCAATCGTTGATCAACGGTGGGTGTGACGCAGCTCAAGAACCTGATGCAACGTAAAAATTTGATCAATAAATCCCCAACTAAGCCAGAATCCGGCTTGCTGTTCAGAGTTAGACATTGTGTTGAACTGGAGCGCCACGTTGCCGCCATCGAGAGTGGAGTCGGAAGTTAGTACTGGATAGGAACAGATGATTGTCTGTGCAGAATTGAAGAAGTCGATCGCCGTTATCTGCTCGCTGGCAGAGCAGAGCACAACTACCGCCTACATAACCTTCTGATACGCTCAGTTTTCCAACCTGCGCGTTAGTCACTTGCAAGTACAACTCTATCGGAGTTTCGACTCAGGAATGAGTTCGGTGAGTTCATCATAAAACTCATCCTTTTGTGCCTCAGACCGCAGTTGATCGGTGCATGCGCTGGAATGATGAACAAACACCTTTTGCTGTTGCCTACCTTCCGGACGCTGATTGAATCCTGGAGATGAACTGCACATAAACGACTATTGACGAGGATCCAATCGATAAGAGCGGACTTGGTCCTGTTACTGAGTCCAATACCTAACCCGTACTGACGCAGCGATCATGTTTCATCGTCACCTGATATGCGAAGAACGTATCTCGAGGACAAATCTGGTGAACTGAAGTGGTTTATAGTGGTAGGATCCTGAGTTCGAGTCTCCGACACGCAGAAGATACCGGTTCCTAAGGGTTCCATTGTACGCACCCGACACGCTTGTTGACCTATCTGCATCAAAGTCCTCATGTCGAAGGCACCCGGATCCAGTGATTGACGAGGCTTCAGAATCTGCAATCTATTTAGAAGTAAGCTACTGACAGCGCTACTAGACAGCGACCTCTGGCAAGCGACATCCAAATTCCTTGAGGAACTATTACAGGTCAGAAGAAGGGAATAAGAGGGAAGACTGGGTACGGAAGACAGAGTTAAACAAAGGTTGGGAAGTCTAAGCAGTAGCCCACTTATCAATGCCTACCCCACTCGATGCAGTATGGAATTATTTTTAGTTTGTGTATGCATTGGGTTTGATGGATGGGTACTGCTAGAGTGCCCAGCTATTAGTAGGAGAACGATTAGGGTTCTCCTCCAAAGCCTTTAATTCTGACAATAATGTGTGCCCCGGAGTTGGCCTCTGTTCTACGCTGCCTTTTATGTTCTTCACTCAATCTTAAATCTCTCCCTACTCCATGGAAGTATCATTATTTCTTCAATCCCAAAGCGCGGTGACCCTTCCGTCCCATCACTCACATCTGTAATTTCGAAAGTGTTTGAAACCATTATCTCCGACCAGCTGCATACATTTCTCGAACGCGAAGGTTTGTTGAATGACCGTCCGTATGGATTTCGCTCTTGTCGATCTACGGATGACCTACTGGCGCTCACATCACATTCCTGGTCAACTACACTAGATAACCATGGAGAAACCTACATGGTCTCGCTCGACAATTCAAAGGCCTTCGACCATGTTTGGCATGAAGGTCCGCTGTCGAAATTACCCACGTTCGGACTCCACCTGCCTCTAGTATTGTGGCTCTGATGTTTCCTCAGCAAGCGAACCATCTCCGTCCGAGTAGATGGGGTCCTATCGCGGCCATTTCCTATGAACGCCGGTGTTCCCCAAGGTTCCATACTTTCGCCCATCCTCCTTCTTTTATTTATCAACGATCTTCTATCCCAAACTGCTAATCCCATCCACTATTTTGCCGATGATGCCACCCCCATTGTTCTCTTTCTTACCCCACACTCCGTTAGGCTAATACCAACATCGATCACGATCGTAATGTCATTAGTGCTTCTCTTGCCTCCGATCTCGGACTAATCTCCGCACGGGGTTCTACCAACGATGTGTTCCAATGCTTCCAAATCTTCTCTCCTCTCAGTCTCTCTTAAACATGTCCCCTATTCTTCTCAATTTTTGACTCTCTGCCCCCTCGTTCTACAAATTCTCTCTCCCTCCTGGGTTTATC